GCTGCTCCCCTTTGGCCTTCCTGGCATGGTTGCACCTTGTGGAACGAAGTTCCAGCCAGTGTAGCCCGCGGGATCATTGCAGCACTGAAGCCCGACCACCACGTGAAGGTGGCAGCTTTAGGTCGGGCGAAAGGTTGCCAGTTGTTCGCAGATCTGATGATCTTTCTTGACAGTCAATAAAGGAAGGCTTCAACCGATTTTGAAGTCATTGAGAGTGCAGTAAACTCAAAATGGTTGTCCTCTTTCTCGAGAATTAGAGTAATTGTGGCGTTTGAATCGCGCACCTGAAACTACTTTTGGAACCCAGTTACTTGAAGCAGCACAACTAACTAATTACTCAAGACGAAATTCCTGTCTCTGAGTAAAGCAGGATGGATGTAATTAGAGCCAGCTTTAGGGGTTTAACATCCAGCTAGTCTCGCTGGCGAAAAAGAATCCGAATGCACGAACCAGTGGAGCTAAGTTTGGCGACCAGTCGAATTACTTGATGCAAGAATCAAACAAGGTGTGTCTCAAATCGTTCCGCCAGGCTACCGGTTCTTTTGTTCAAGCTGTTTAATTTTGTCGAGATTGGTAACGCTCCCATTGTCACCAGTCAAAGTAGTACCGGACTCTCGGGTTAGTTGGAAGCTTCCAAAACGCCTACCAAAGCAATCTCAAGGCACGTTGGGTCCACTGAATTTCATCGTATTCCTTTGTCATCCCTTCTCTACTTCGGTCAGTTTATTACGGGTGGGATGGAACAGTAGGTAAGCAGCTGTTGAGTGTAGATTGAGGGCTAAGTATGATAAACGAGTCCGTCGTATGGACGACATCCTTTCGTTTCTTCAGTAGCCCACTATACCACAGCAGTGAGTGGTCTGAGACTACTGAGACACTCGTAGAGACGTAGAGACAATGGATTGCGCTAGAACAGACACTGTATTAGGCGCCAGCACAAGCTGCACCTCCTCGTGGATGTGAAAACTGGTGACCTGCCTGCACTTTACCGGCGTTGTCGGGGAAGCATTTCGCGCGTCTGGTGGCAACAAGTGAATAATACGGAACTACGACACTGGGTCCTTAGTGACGCTAACACCGACTTCGAACGCGTGATCATAATACACACTGTTGACTGGGACAGATTCTCAGGGTGTAACCACCACAACACCGACGCTTACGTGTGTTGTCATATCAAAGGCGAAAGAAGCGTCGCGGTGGCCGGCCAATAGTATTAACGCTGCGGTAATATGTACGTTAAATTCACCCGTTGCGGTACAATTCCGGCTTGTGCAGCAACCAAGATAGGCAAACCGGACAACTAATCCAAACTCTGGAGTTTTAGAAAAGGAACGGATGGAAGACCCTTAGAAGTGCAATTTGAAAATGTAAAACGCCTGTCGAACTAAGAGATCACTCCCGATATCCTATAGTAGTGAGTGTGGATGGATAATCGTCACACAACAAACGTCGTAGAGTATATAAACATTACTCATTAGATCCGACTGATCTTCACAGAAAGCTACCCAAAAATAACAAAAGTTGCCGAGAAAACAACCACAGTAACACTCCCGCCCATCTATACGCAGTAGCAACAAACCGTTTTTGGATCAGTTCGATGGTTTCTGGATCAGGAGGAGGTTTGTTGATTTCTGCCACGCACTCACGAACCAACCGTCGGATGCGTTCCAGACAATCCGCTTGGTTTAGTACTTGTTTTCTAGTACGATCGGAGGCGATAATGAAGAACGAATCTTTTGTGATACGATGAGCTTCCTGTAGGAAAGGTAAGTGAAGTTGTTGGTGGATCGGACGATATAACGCACCTTTTCCAGAAGTCTGGCGCGCGCAGGCTCTGGAATCCACGAGGCACTAGGGACGTGGAATCTCACCTCCACTTTAGACCGAGCTAGGCGAGAGTGCAAATATTGTAAGTGAACGTGTTCCATGGCTTACTCTTATTGACATGCTGCCCGCCGGGACCACTAGCGCAACTGTACGTGAATTGAAGATCGTCTGAATAGAAGTTATAGAAAACGCAAAAGCGATAGAAAACTAAACGCGACAATGGTTACATACCAAGAGGAATGTGACCGGAGAATTCCGGGCAATGTTGCAGACTCTGGAAAAAAACGTAGAAAGTAAACTCAGGAAACCCACTTGGGAGTCTGACCCGTTATGAGTCACGATTTGCACATTAGCTGCATTGTTTACCGATCGCGCGGTAGAGGAGAAACATCGTACCAAAAACACTATGGGCAACGAAGGAATAGAACCTCTGCCAAGACGTCCGACTGCTGTGAACATCAGGCTTCTTATTAAGCGTCCAAAGGATCGAAATAAAGATATCCTGTGGTCGTTGCGTTTTGAGTACTTTGTTAAAACTGAACTGGAAAATTGAAAACATTTCATCAATGGTCGCTGAATTCCGCCAGCAGACATAACTCGTATCAATCCCCAATACAGTGAATTCGTTCACCGGAAGGCGTAGCCTTAAACATGGAGCCCGAAAGTCTGTGCAGTGTAGCTCAAGTATTTAAACTGAGGCTAACAAATTATCAATTTGTCAACTTGCCAACTACTTGTCTCGGGTGTGAAGCGAGTGGTTGTCTCGACCTGCGCGACCGTAAATCCTTCTGAATAACCCCAAAACATATTGGACTGGAAGTGGCTCTCGGAAAGAATTCTTGAAAGTGCTTTCACTGAGGTGCAAACGGGTATCCGGTAGCCTGAAAAGTCACACTTTCTAACTGTGGGACAAACTAACGATCAGCTACACCGCCATTTGGGTTTTCCTGAAGAGGCCAGTGGCAGTCGAGGAAAACGTGCTATCACAGTGGTGACGATGACCAGTCCTATAAAACGTTAAACACAATTAAACTATTACTGCTCCTTTCACTAGGCTTGCACATCCCAGGTCAGTGACCTTGTTTGAATGCGTCACAAAGACCATGTCACGAGAGAGTTATTGGGCAACCGTCCTTTCATAAGGAACCGGCTGACGAAGCCACAATCGACTCCAAACCAGGTTACTCTCTCTCCATTGTACTTCGATGTGCCCAGAGTCAAACAGTGCTGCCACACCCTGTCTATTGTACATGCCTAGGTACCGTAATGAGACGGCAGGAGAAAAAATTCAAGAGATTTCACAGAAGGCAGACAAAAAACCGTTCAGCTGTAGCACACTTTCGGTGCCTAACTGCCATGCAACCAGAGGGAGACACGAGGGCTAGGATACTGCCAGGTTGCCCAAGCCTAGACAGGGAAGTCGAGAGGCAGAGGTCGAATAGTTCCGAATTCACTGACGTCATCAGGCACCAGCAACAGCTGTAAGACATCGAGGGTCCAAAATCTGAGGACGTCCAACATCCTCCGTCAGCGGGGCTGTGCCTCGCAAACACAGTCCCCACTGCAGACTAGTGCATGCTACCCTTGGGGCCAAAGTTAACTTTTTGACGCCACAAGTGACCCAAGTCGACAACCGTGATTCGGGTTTCTAAGACACATGCACTGACTCTACCAGGCACACTTGTGTCAGAGCCGGCTGATGCTATTACCACAACCTCGTAAACAATTTCTCGTTAGTTCGTCTCATACAAATTGGACCTGCACTATAAATACCTCATTTTCGACTGTATAGTTATATATATATATATATGGTCGCTAAATGACGCTTTAGGTATCACTGGTTTGTGTCAACAACATTCTCATCACATGCATGTAGAGACAGTGTAAGTCGCCGGGGGTTCTATTTTAAAAACGTTACACTTAGGCAAAAACGGAGTGCGAGTGGAACATACACTTATAAACGCTGTTGCAGTGCATATGAACCAAATTAAGATTCTATTCATTATTAGAATCCTACGGAACCTTTCATGAACTACTCACAGGTCACAAAAATGAAAAATCAGAAAGCCGTGGTAATAGTGGTATTCGAACACAAACCAAAGTAAGGTTATATTTGCTNCGGCTGATGCTATTACCACAACCTCGTAAACAATTTCTCGTTAGTTCGTCTCATACAAATTGGACCTGCACTATAAATACCTCATTTTCGACTGTATAGTTATATATATATATATAGTTATACATAGTCGCTAAATGACGCTTTAGGTATCACTGGTTTGTGTCAACAACACTCTCATCACATGCATGTAGAGACCGTGTAAGTCGCCGGGGATTCTATTTTAAAAACGTCACACTTAGGCAAAAACGGAGTGCGAGTGGAACAAACACTTATAAACGCTGTTGCAGTGCATATGAACCAAATTAAGGTTCTATTCATTATTAAAATCCTACGGAACCTTTCATGAACTTCTCACAGGTCACAAAAATGAAAAATCAAAAAGCTGTGGTAATAGTGGTATTCGTCAGAGCCAATACAATCGAGTTGTGTACAAAAAAACACAACTATCAGTGATTATAAACGACACCATAACCACAAACGACAGCAACATGAGATGAGAACACGTGAAAAAAAGCAATCTTGTAGAAGGAAGCCACATGGCGAAAGACGGACTAATGACTGCCAGACCATCTAATAATGCTGATGCTCGTCTCCAGAGATCAGGATGATATGGTCTCCACATTGTATATCGACAAGGCTCTCGTCAGCAGTAATTTAAGCACCCTTCATCGCTCACTAGTATCCGAAAGCCGGCTGTCCCTGATAACCGAACATCACATCACTTGGATGTAAGTGTCACGTGCGGGCTACGGACCAAACATGGGCATACATTGATTGGTCAGAATGCCGGCCAATCTGAATCGAGCATCCTCAGCTCGACGCCTCTCACACCCTCACGGGGATTCAAGCACGTCCTTGTGGAACATGTTGTGATTACCCCACAAATACAGTTATGATGAGTTTCCCTTCTCTCCATAAAGGGCTGTCGGAAGCTACCGTGCCTTTTGGTTCACCATAGTGGTCGGAGCAGTTAGCCAAGGCCAGGTACAGGGTTGCACGAGTGTTCAGCAAGGCACAACACCCATTTAATTCATCGACGAAGAAACTGAACAGAAATAAGATGAACATACTTGCCGGACAGTGATTCTTGTAAGGAAGCCCACAGAATTTTCATCATACACCCGTACGCCAGAAAGTGCGTGGATATGAGGACAAGATTATGTTCACAAAATTAGAGGATATCCCCTTTGGGAAAGTCTAGTTACGGGCGCTGAATAATCGACGGAGTCAAACGCATGCCTGAAGTCAAGCAACATCGAGTTTGCGAGCCGTCCGTATATATGGCCCTGTTCTAGCAAGTGACAGATGTTGTGGCGTTATGTACCTTTATTTTACTTCCATTATAACACTACGTATTTCATCAATTGCATAATCACACAATACAAGCGTGGTCGCGTGCTTCGACTCTCTCTTTTGAATTCGCTCGCGCTTGTAGCGGTCATTCGCGAGTCTCATGCACTAACTCTGGTACCAACACATTTCAGATCATCTTCAGAATCTATTATATGTGAGAACTGTTCAGAAGAAGACCTTTGGACCAACATAATTGGATTATTGTTTATTCTCTGACCTGGGCCAACGACGAACTATTTTAAAGAGAACAACTTTTAGTGAGTCTGTTCCATCTGACCTCTTCATTATTAAATACCCAAGCTAGCGTTATTGTTTTTTATTTCTTTGCCACACACTCCTGGTAAACTAACTTATTGGGTAGCCAGACCACTACGTGATCGACCCAGCCTCTACCCAGTCGAAAACCCGTTTGGTGCTCACGAATCAATGTTTCGGGTGCCACAACGTTGCGTCAGAAACCTGGTCAGTAACCCTGAGGTACTTCTAGTGGTTTCCGGAAGAAATAACTCATCCACGACCGCAGAGACAACATCCCGTAGGCTATGCTACGTTGCTCAGATTCTGCGAAAACCAGTCGACTGACATTATTGGAGAGCCCTACTCACCCGACCATGGGAAGGTTTAAAATGAAGCAGGAAGGTCGAGCAGTGACCTAGAAGCGAAGTATCAATGCCATTACCAGAAAACACAGCTGCGTCGGCCACTGAGGGCCCTCTCGCTGGAGACTCAGAGACCGAATATATCTATGGATAGCAACATGGTCCAGTTGCGCGCATGCGTCCCAGCTGGTGTTTTTAGTGCAGAGCAAACTGGCCCGACTGCCCCAAAGAATTCACGTACAAATTATACCTGACCATATTTCCATGGGACATCGGCGAACAAAACTATAACACCAATCCCTGTTGTATATGTACGCCAGCGTACATGATAATAATGATTTCGCGCACCGCCGCAAGGCAGAGAAGCATGAGTGACGCTGAAAGCCGTGTTGAAACAAGTAAACCAACACCCTGTTGGATATTGAGTTCAGTATAAGTACCCTTTTTGAAGATGATCATCGTTACCAACTCACAAAGAGAAGCCAGAAGTAATCGCGCATACGTCCACGTCCTGGAAAACAGCCGAACGCAACTACAGTCAGACAGAAGAAGGATTGAGTGATCGTGTTTGCCCTCAAAAAAGTTACATAAATACTCTACGGCCGTTAGTTTGACTTAATGACCAATCACAAGCCACTCCCCGTGGTGTTCGGTTTAAAAAAGGCGATTTTGGTGTATACCGCCCACCGCCCCAAACGAGGATTAACTCTGCTTCCGGAATACAACTTCATTATCAAGTATCAATTCACCAACAGCCTCGCAGAAGCCAACGCGCTGTCTCACCTCACTGGTTTAAGCGGATCAGGGCGGAAAATACCGCGGTTGCAACATTCGCATTAGAGACGGTGGTGAACCGTGTATTTTCGGAGGCAGTTTGCACCCACCCGACGACTGCCGAGATGGTCTGCCAGGCTAATGACAAAGGCCCAGTGCTGCAGCAAATCCCCAAGTACAGCCGGGACTGATGACCGAGTACCTCACAAAGAACAAAATAAAACCTTATTTCAACCGGTGTAATACATTACCTC